ATGTGGTCACCTCCGGGGAGGGGGATCAAACTCGTACTGAAGCGGTTGCAGTGCTGCATCCTAACCTGTTGCGCCACAAGGGAAGGCCTAATATATTTCTTTGAGGCACTGTCAATTTTTTAAATTGTAGTAAGAGCATTTAACGCTTTCCTAACAAGTCTGGTATTTGTTAACACCTTCTTAGTAAATATGATTTTGATAACTGTCAGTTAAATATTCTACAGCAGGTATCTAGAACTTACTCATCTTGTGGAACTGAAACTTTATACTCTTCCTCCTCTGTGTTCCTGGCAACCACCATTCTACTTTGTTTCTATGACTTTGATTATTTTAGATACATGTATAAATGGAATCATGCAGGCCTGCTACTTGCAATAACATCCTCTGGGTTCATCCATGCTGTCTCATGGCAGGATTTCCTCTGAAAGACTGAGTAGCATTCATTGTACGTGTAGAATATATTTTCTTTATCCATTTATCTCTCAGTAGACATTTAGATTGTTTCTCTGCCTTGGGTATTGTGAATAATGCTGCAGTGAACTTGAGCATGATCTCTTTGAGATTCTGAATTCAATTCCCTTGTAATATATGCCCAGAGTAGGATTGCTGGATCATATGGTAATTCTACTTTAAATTTTTGTGGGAATTTTCATATTGTGCACCAATTTACATTTTTTACATCTGCATAGTGCACTAGCGTTTCTGTTTATTCATATCCTTTTCAACACTTGTTTTCTTTCTTTCTTTTTTTTTTTATAATACCTGCCCTAGTAGGTGTGAGATGATACTTCATTGTGCTTTTGAAATGCATTTCCTTGACTAGTGATGATGAGCATCATTTCATTTACCTGTTAGCCATTAATATGTCTTCTTTGAAGAAGACATATTCAAATTCTTTGCCCACTTTTAATTGAGTCATTTAAATTTTGGCGATTGAGTGGTTGGAGTTCCATATATTGCCCTACTTGCTTATTTTTGTTTTCGTTGCCTGCCCTTTTGATGTTGTGGCCAAGAAATCATTGCCAACACTAAGATTTTCCTCTGTATTTTCTTTTAGGGCTTTCACAGATTCAGCATTTTAAGCCTTTAATCCATTTTGGGTTGAATTTTTGTAGTGTGTAAGGATTCGGTTTTATTCTTCTGGATGTGGACATTCAGTTTTCCCAACACCATTTGGTAAACAGACTGTCCTTTCCCTCTTGAGTATTCTTGGCATCATCATCAATGATGAGTTGATCATTTATGCATGAGTTTATTTCTAGACTCTATCCATTGGTGTAAATGTCTAGAGGCATCATCAATTTTAAAATACACGGTGTCTTTGAAGGCTTTTTATCACTTAGAAATTTCATTGTATGCATATTAAGGTGTCTCAGTTTTCCCCTCAGTCTCAAATTTGCATCTAGTTCCTTTTTTGTATTTGAAACAAACAAAAAATGTCATTGGATCCTTTATTCAGCTGCTAGACCTCATGAACAGTGACAGCTCAAGGAAATCTACCTGTCTTCAAAAGTGTGCATTTGTAATCCATAGGCTTCTCCCTGACAAAACGGTTCAAGTTGCCCAGTAGCAAGTTTGGGGGAAGGGGTCAAGTCAGGGGAAAGGTTGCAAGGGAGGGGAGTAGGTATCTGTCTCAGCTCCTCACAAAACTATGGGGCTGCCAGGAGCTGAAGAAGCTAAAGC